ACAGTTAGTGTTCTGGATAGAACACTATTCCTGGCAGTCCTTCCACTGGATAAGGCATGAGAACAGTTCTTTGCACTTGCTACCTGGTTCTATTCTTCCCCCTGTCTAAAGGAGGAGCCACCCTTCTGTAGGTATGAGACTTTAGAGTATCACAAACAGGTCAGTACCCCAATTTAAAAATGTGCAACATAGAACTCGGGATCCTAAGGTTCTGGTCTCCCTCATAAAACATCAAAACACGCAGCTGGTTCTGCCTCCCCTCCAGGTAGGATGCTGCAACATAAATCACTGTGCTCAGCACTGAACAGCCCTGCCACCTGAAGTGAAGTGAGCCCCCAACAGGGACACATGGTGTACACCGAGTAATCACCACGGGTCTGAAAACAAGACCACACTTTACAACCACCAAACCTGACAATAGGAAGCAAAAACCGGTAACTACCCTGGGGAAGCATCCGGGTCTCTCAGGACGGCTCAGGGCACGTTCAAAGGGACCTGAGACCCCCTACACATGTGGCTCTTACAACCTTGGCCACTGGCCAGTCCTGAAGGGAAGAACCTACTTCTGCTGCTACGTTGTAGCTCTTCCAGGTCACCCTCGAGCCCCTATGCTGAACCTTTCTCTCCAAGGCCATCCTTCAGCTTCCTGCAGTGGGGCACAATGCCAGGGCAGACTTGGGCTCCCAGCAAGAGAGTCTGCCACCCAGGGAGCTGTTCTTCAATACGCTGCGAGAGAAAAAAAATTCTCTACAGAACAAAATTTCAGCAAAAGAAATGAGGTCTGCAGAATGAACTGTTTTTCTAAATCCCTCTGTAAACCTTCATCCCATGCATCCAGGCCCTAGGAGAAGAAATGACCAGGAACTTTCAAAACCTTTGAATGCCAGGTGGGTATGGTGGTACATACCTATAATCCCAGCACTTGGGAGGCTGAGGCAGGAGGACTGCTGCGAGTGTTAAGGTGAGCCTGTACTATGTAGTAAGTTCTAGGACGGTGTGAACTACAGAGCAAAATGCCATCTAAAAAAAAAAGTGTAATGCTAACACAGAAATCACCATTTTAACTCATCTCTCAGACTCCACAAGCAGCAAAGCGAAGCACGGAGAATCTGAGATGGAGTGAACTGGGCCGTGGGGGACCCAGATCGAGGAGGGCCCTTTGCAGCCTGCAACTGTCGGAGCCCGAGCACCCCGCCCACCCAGGGCCACTGCCATCCCACGGCGCATTCTGGGCCGCAGAAACAGGAAGTACAGCAGCAAAGCTTATTTAAAGCGCCCCCTAGTGGAGGCCAGCACCCTCCTCTCAAGCCCTACAGACACCAGGGGACAGGGTGGACTGCCCTGGGCTGCTAAGAGGAGGGAAGGGAGTGACAGAAGCCCGGATGCAGGCATTCCTTGTGCTGCCAGAGCAGCCTGGCCTGACCTGCGCACCCACCTTCAGGCAGCAAGCCCTGCTTCGTCGAGGTGACTGTCCAGCACCTGTCCTCCCTGGTGGACCCTTGCGTCCTGGAGGAGGGGCCCTCCCTGCGCTCCTGTGCTGCCCGACTCCGGTCCACTGCACCGAGTGCGAAGTGCTGCCCCGCGGATGCAGCAGAGCTGGGGCCCCAGTCCTGCTCTTCTTGCTGCTGACTGAGACCCTCCTGCAGAGCGCCAAACGCACCCGGCTGGCCACCGCCTCCTAGCGGGCCGGAAAGAAAGGCGAACAGAGCTGTGCTTCTGGCCGAGTCTCAAAGTCCACCTCTGGCTCAGGACACTAAGCAGCCAGGTTACGGCAGCGGAGGGGGCGGAACCTGGTGTCTTAACCCAGGAATGCAAGGGGTCAGGGGCCTGGGGCCCTCCCGCACCCGAGGCACTGGGTTCTTCCCTCTCTTCGTAAGCTAATCAGGCTGCAGGAAGTGTACACTTCCCCTACAAAGCAGTGACAAAAAGACCAAGAAGTGCACGGAGGGCAGCGGCTGGGGCCCTGGGCCTGTGGCACTGCCCCTCCTTGGTGTGGCAAGGCCACTGCGGGCCTGAGGCGCTGGCTGCTGCCCTTTCTGTGATGACGGAACGGCCCTGAGGCTCATGGGTCCCGGGAGTGGGGTCCAATCCAGGCTCTGGGTCTCCGGTCAGGTCACCTAACTTTTTTGAGCCTCCATCTCTCTAACCATAAATCCTCTGAGTTATTTCTTCCTCCCTGGGGATTAAAACGGGCTGTTAGTTCTGAGGAGAGCCAAGCACCCAGTAGTCCCTACTCAGCCTACCCACATGTCTCACGAGAGGAGCTCAGGACTGAGTAAAGTAAGACGGTATCAAGCGACTGCTGTGTAAAAGGGGCAGGGACTCCTATTTTAGTTTATGAATTTATCTGCCTGTAAATAAAAATGTCTCAAGGACCAAAGAACTCCACGGTGGCCAGACACTGCCTTTTCCTATTCTGTAAAACGCAAATGTTTAATGTGTTATTTCTAAAATAGGAAATAAAATGAACTGAGTGGGCCCCAGCTTGCCGTAGCGCCAGAACAAGGAGAAGTGAACGTGAGCTCTTTACGCCCTCAGCCCATGAGGGTTTATTACAGCACGGGCTCAACACAACAGACTCAAACTCAGCACTTGGGAAGAAAACACCACGACCTTGCTGCTGCCTGGGATCTTTCTTACGAGCTCATTTATTTGTGGAAAACCCATGTTTGCTGACCTCAATCATGCAAAAAGCAAAGCCCTCCAGGAGGGCAGTCAGTTCACCCACACCCGAGCACTGGTCACCTACACCAGGGACAGCAACCCTGCAGAGGACGCCAGCCAGGCCTCGGGCTCCGCTGGCCGTGCAGCCTGTCACAGCCGGTGGGCAGCGCACCCCGAAAAGGCAGGCATGGCTGTGTATCAACCACCGTGGCGGGCTGTGGGCTTGGTGTAGGGCTGTGGTCCACGGGACTTCATGGACTCCCTTGTGCAGGGGGTTGGGCCACAAATGGGACCTTGCCCTGCAGGAGCCACCTCCCAGAAGACGCCAAGTGCTTCCCCACACCGCTCTTCCCAGCCTTCCTGGAGCTGTAATGCCCGTGCAACACATGCCCACCAGGCTTTCCCAGGTGGCGCTATGGTGTGGACCTAGAATACCACCCGAAAGGCTTGTGTGGTCAGAGGTGAGGCTTTGGAAGGGGACTGGATCCCCGGGTGCTGTGCTCATCGGTGGACTCACCCACGGATGCGCTCATGGCTCCATGTGCTGTCATAGGAGGAGGTGGAGCCTGGTTGGAAGGTGTGGGTCACTATGGCTGTGCCACTGGAGGGTGTCTCTTCCTCCCCAGCTCCTCCCTTCTCCCTGCTTCCCAGCTGCCATGGGGTGAGCAGCTTTCTTCCGCCAGCCCTTCTGCCATGACGTCTGTGCATTGGAGCCAGCTGACAGTGGACTGAACCCCTGGAAACTGAGCCACATGAACCCCCTCCTCTTGTAAGTTGCGAGTGTCAGGTACAGACTTTGCTCCAGCAACAAGAAGGCTAATACAGGTGTGTTGCTGCCAACAGGGTGAGCTCCCAGTGGAGCTGGCCCACGGAGGCCCAGGATGGACAGCGGTGCCCCCCACCTCATGCTGCTGTTCCGGGGAGTCCTGGGCTCCTCTGACACTGGCACTGCCATCGGGAAAGGGGATAAGCAACACGAGCCAGGAAGGAGTACATGGCACAAGAGTGCAGAAAATAGGAAATTTTCTGTGAGGCAGAGAAGGGGCGGGCTGCAAAGCTGCAAACCTGACACAGGCCTGAAATCCACTAGAAACAAGTGGGAAAGCCCTGCGGCCTCATCTGCAGACTCAGCTGCGCGCTAACAGGCTTGCCTGGGCTGGGCCAGGGCCGGAGCCATGGAGAGGAGAGGCAGAGTTTGAACCAGCAGTGGCCGCTGTTCCTCAGGGCCCGGGCACACCCGGCAGCTGCTGGAGGGCCCACGCCGCGCCCCACAACCCCACGGCATGAGGGAGGTGGACACAGGGGCTCTGCCACTGTGCATCTAAACCGGAGGGGAGGGGCCTGGGGAGGGGAGGGGCCTGGGGAGGGGAGGCGCCTGAGGAGGGGAGGGGCGGCACCTGGGGAGGGGAGGCGCCTGGGGATGATTCTCCAGCCTTGTCAGAGACAGAGCCCCCTGCCCAGGCATCCCGCTCCTGAGACTCTGACTCCAAAGCTAAGGCCTCCCCTGCACCCTCCAGAGCCCACCTGAAGGCCACCCCTCCCTCCATCTCCACTCAAGGTGGCTCTCATGGCCCACATCTGCCACCACAGCCCTGACGTAGACCCCGAGGCTCTTCCAAGGGTACTCCCCCTCTGATCTACGGCTGCTCCCAAAGGTGGGGATCAATAATGCATACAACAGCGTAAGACAATTCCCAAATGCTGGTCCCCCGCTCTTGGCCTCGAATGTTAGCATATTTTTTGGTATTATTCTGCAGGGTTTTGTTTGGGAGGCCTGGGGGTCCAGACCTGCCTTCTCCGTTCTTTCAGCTTATTTTGCTCCGAGCCTAACCTTAAACATGTGCACCCTTTCTAGGGACAGGGCTGGATCAGGAACACGCAATGACCACAATTAGAAAGGCGCGCGTGGAAGGTTGAGGGGACACGGGAGCGAACGGAGGACGCTCCAACCTGTGCACAGAAAGGTGAGCTAACGGGGGAGGACTGAGAATCCACACAGGCAGCGTCCTAAAGCAGCTGCCCTGTTTCTCCAAAGCACAGGGACCGAGGGACAGCGGGAGGGGGAAGAGCGGGGGGAAGAGAATGAAGACGTGTGACGGCCATGGACCAGCCCCCCACGAACGTGCCCGTTCTGTGCCGCACACCCGGGCTCACAAAACATAAATGAAGCGGGGTCTCGCTGCCCCTTCCACACACACCCATGAGAGCGGAACAGAACTGAGAACGGCCTCCCGCCCACACACCACGTGACAGGCCCCGCCCCGCACGCCTCCCAGACTGGTCTCCTGAGTGCCCCTCCTGGGTGCTGGGCACGACGCCAAGCAGCGCGTATTTACCGTCCTGGAAGACCCGCTCCACGTTGAGCCCGTAGGTGGCGCACGTCTCGTAGTACGTGCACCGCTTCAGGTCATTGGACAGCTTCCGCGCCCTGGCATCGTCGATGACTCGCGGGTTCGTGGAGCTTATGGCATCTGAAACAGAACACCAAGACAAGACAGCTGGGTGACAGGAAGCACGGGCTACGTCCTTCCGGGGACTTGGGGTGCCCGGGCAGCTGAGCACAACTGCACCTCCCCCAATGGAGGTGTCACCCTTTGAGAACCTGGAGTTGTGTGCACAGCTTACCCTCAGAATAACAATGTCAAGCTGCAGAATGTCCTTGAGGGTGCGTTTAGAGGAGAAGTTCTGAGGCTAGAATGGAAGGATTCCAGAGCGGCCAGGAGGGCGGGGCCAGCAGGAATACGGCTGCGGGAAAAGCACTGAGGGGAAACCCAGACACGCTCCCCGTCGCCTCCTGCCACAGTGCTCTGCCAAATGCGCTCCGCGGCCTGGCACAGCCTGCAGGTGTCACCACTCACCCACGGCCTCAGTCAATGCCCAGCGGTGCCTGGCAGTGGCCGTGGTCCTGGTCCCCGGGCATGGATGCCACGGGGTCACAACAAAACTGCAGCTCCATGGCATCAACACGCAGGCTGGTGCAGGAGGGTCGGGGCGAGGGACGGCTGTGAAATGAGAAGGCTGCGCGTGTAATGGGGCGCAGGGTTGGGAGGCAGGCGTTTGGGTCAGGGCTTTAGTATGTCTGCAAACCAGAGGCCACCGAGTCCCTGCAGCTGCTCCATCCTGAGCCGAGCTCTGCTCCGGCTTCCCGGCACCTGACTGCCCATGTGCACCACGCATACCACAGCTCAGCTCTACACAAGCTCGCTTTTCACTCCCCTTGTAACTCTGCAGCTTTTTCTTTTGGTACCAGGAATCAAACTCGGGACCTTGCGCTTGCCAGGCAGGCGCCTGTGCTGCTGAGCTGTATCCCACTCTGCAGCTTCTTAAACCCTTCTCCTTCCTCCAATCAACCTCATTCACAAGCGCGCAGGACGGATCCTGTCCCTAGAACGTCAAGCCACCCGCACGGCAGTGCAGAGGAAGGCCGAGAGCCCTTTGCTGGCTCTCCCCGCTCTGCACTCCCCGCTCTGACACCCCGACTCCCAGTGCAGGGAGGCAGCGTCAGGTCCTCCCACGGCCACTCTGCTCTGCCTGACCCAGCGTTGCGAGTGACCACCAGGGGCACACAGGCTTCAGGGAAGGAGCCCAGTGTGTGCCCGGAGATTGCAGGCAGCCAGCGAGGACCCTGGGGAGCCCGCCTCCACCCCGGCTTCTGGCTGCCCTGCTCTGGGCGCTCTGCCACTGGGGGAGCTGGCGGAGGGCAGGGGGCTCACACTCGGCAAGTCTCCCACGCCGAAATCCCGCTGTCCTGTATGCCAGAGGCTGGCAAACTGAGCTCAAGTGAGACCAGAGCCTCTGAGTGGGGAGGGGACAGCTCCCGGGCTGTTCCCTGGGTGGGGGGCATCCTGGCACGTGACTGATTTGCACACCTACCCGCAATGTGCTCGCCTCCACCAACAGCTGTTAGCTCTGGGGCCTTCACTTCTAAGTGTTCTGGTGCCACTAGGTGGCTGACCGTGGCCGCCTCTGCAGACACAGATGGCTCAAAGGGGCAGGCACTCAAAGGGACAGGGAGAGGGGCAGAGAGGGACCTGCTTCTGCTAGCTCAAGCAGAACCTCAGGAAAAGGCCATATGCTGAAATATAAAGATCAGAAGCAACACATCCTGTGGCCACTGACACAGCGAGGGCCCCTCAGGAATTCCTGCTTACCCCATCACAGCCCCAAGGCCAGAGGTCAAGGCGTGGCCCTAGTGCCTGGCTTCAGCCTCCCCCTCAGCAGCAGCTCAGGGCGAACTCATCTGACCTCACCCTCCCAACCCCCACTGAGGCCCGGAGCTCCCGGTCACAGGGAGTCCGCGCAGGAGCGCAGCCTTCTTGGTCAACAAAATCCTGCTCCGGTGCTTGCAGAAAATGGCAAATAACCATTTAACTTGCATTTACCCTCATACACCTCCCACACACCCTAACCATCTCCGCATGACTCCTGACTCCTAATACAAAGCAAATGCTAGTAATTGTGGTCTGGTATTGCTTAGGGAATAACAAGAGAAAGTCTATATACATTCAGTTTAGATGAACTTTTTTTTGAGAAGTTGGCTGAATCTTCAGATTTGGAACCTACTACACAGAGGGGCGACTGTACTCAAGAGCATAAGAACCAAGGTTGTATTGGGGTGTCCTTGTCTCCTGGTGACCACTAGAGGGTGCTGCAGGCACAAAGACAGTCCTCTGGTCTTATGCTAAACCTGCCTGGCCTGAGGGTTTCAGTACTGACAGCCAGCACTGGCCATCGAGGGCCAAAAGCCAGGAGAACTGTGGTGTCTCACACCTACAGTACTACAGAGATGCTTGCTTCACTCCATGGCGGTTACTTCTCTCAGCACAGCCCCAAAGCCCCGGCTGCAGCCCTCTCACATGCTTCCCCGCAGCCCTCACCGAGGGCTGCCCAGCTCTAACTACCTGACTGGGGCAGTCCAACACCGGCAGGGGCGGGCACAGCAGCCAGGCCAATTCCAAAGGCGAGACCGAAAGCAGCATACTAACAGCAGAAGTGAAGGGTGACACCATTTCTCCTGACATGATTACTTTTTAAGGGGAGAGAGAAAGACGCACTATGCACACGAACCCACTCCCCAGCAGGAATATATTTACTGTGTGTGACAAACACGCACCAACAAAAAAGAAGAATAACCCAAGAATAACCCGAAGTCATCTCACAACGTGCCTCATACCCAATATCTGGAATCAACCTATGTGACACTTTGGTCAGAATTCAATGGTAGGAGAAAAAAAAAAACTCAATAGTAAACAGCAGCACAAGCAGGAATCCATGATGAAAAGCGAGGCTGCCGCGTGCAGTTCTGTGACTGTCACTTTACTAAGAGGCCAAGCTTTGGGCCACGGGGAAGAGCACAGAAACCGCCTGGTGAGGATCTGCTGCTGAAGTCCTGCGGGACGAAACACCGAGCCACAGGACGCTGGCGAACAGAAACAAACAGCACAGAAACAAGGAACGGAGATGAAACAGAACTCTGCAAATCAGTACTAAAGATGCACCGAAGTTAAAATACGTACACTTGTAGTTGGCTTACAAACTGTTTCCCACAGAGACATTATATCGTAACACAGAAAACAAGAGAAAGGAGATCCTATTGTTTCTAAAGCACCTGGAACGGTGTTTGTATGTATGCATATGCACAAGCACTTGTTCGTGCATGTATGTGTGTCCGTGTCTGTCTGCTTGTGCATGTGTGTCCATGCCTGTGTGTGTGTCTTCCTTGGAGGGTGACCGCACTGTCCTTCCATGGAATTAAGTAGCAACACGTGAGCCCGTTGCACAGCTTCTCACTGCAGGAGGTGCGCCTTCAGCTGAAGCCCTTCTGCAGACACCTGTGCATGCCCCACACCGTGACCGAGGCGGGGCCGCCCCCCGCAGCCCCGTGCCAGGAGGCCACTCACCCTGCGTCCCCACCAGCACGAGAGGGATCTCACTCGTGTTCCGGTAGTTGGCCATTCGGCTGTAGTAGTGGTAGACGGTCTGGAAGCTGATTTCGTCCTCCAAGCTGAAGACAAATATGACGGCGTCCACCCACATGGCAAACTGCGGAGAGAGACGGGGCAGGGGCAGGAGTGAGCACTGGGCAGGGGGCACCGGGCACCGTGGGCCCATCCTCACGGCCAGGGGCCAGCAGGCTCTGATGTTCACCTGATTTCCCAACTGCGTCTCGTTCTCCTCCTCCACCCAGGATTGGGGCCCCCACATCACAGCAACACCCCACCCCCGTCCTCCAACACAGCCACCTCGGCCCCTGTGGTTTCTGCCCCGAGTCAGCAAGCAGCCGGGTCGCCAGAAGGCTCTGGAAATTATTATTTCTAGGACAATCATAAAATTAACAAACACTAGCAGGCAGGAACTGCAGCGGCCCCTCCCGTCCCGTTACTCGTTTTGCCAGCGCTCCGTCCAGCGGACACGAAGAAGCCCTCCTTCCCGCTTCTGCGGCCTGCTCTCTCACAACAGCTGCCCAAGCAGCGGGCAGGTGAGGGCGGTTCCCGCAGGCCCCCCGCCCCCACGCCCTCTGCACACCTGCACGGAGCCACACAGGGTGCGTCTGCACCAGAGACCGTTTGCTTTCCAAGGGAAAACGAAACAAAAGTCCCATCTGCCTTCCCTAAAGGAGCGTCAGTCCCTGAGAAGTCCTTACGGCTGAGGATTGCCTCGTACACACAGGCACAAACGCTTTATTAACGGCACTGGCTTCCACTTACAACTCTAAAGGATGTGCAGTTGCATGTGAAGTATCTGTACGACTACTTTAAAAACCTGCAGCTGTGACGATACAGGGCACGTCAGCAGGGAGAACGCGCACAAAGCACCTTGGGGCAGACCACACCACCCAGGACTTCTCCCGTCTCCGCCAGAAGTGTTTTCCTCACTCTTCCAAGAGAGAGGGAGCAGGCTTGCACCCCACCATGGAAGCCGGGAACCAAGTCACTACGGCCCCATCCCCCGGAGGGTACACTCTGCCCCAGCACCCAACAAGTATACCCCCACGGAAGTGCAGCCCCATCAGAAAACTACAGTACTAAAAGAAAAAAACAGGGCAGTCAATTGGCAGTGCCTGCAGAACTTCTGCCACAGGGCCATTTCCTCTAGGTGAGTGACAATAAGTGAGCCCTAAGGACAAAAAGAAAGACATGTTGTTCACCATCATGATTTAAGCTTGGAAAAGCCTGGGGCCTAGATCCTTCGGAAGGAGCGTGCTCTAGAATGAGGGGCTGCTCCTCAGGGAAACGGGGTCTGTACTTCTTAAGATGAGATGACACGGAAACCTCCGCCCCGGAGCTGGAAGGGGCGCAGAAAGGTCCTTAGCACTCACGTCCTTGGGCAAGATCTCAGGGTGCCAGCAGCCCCAGAGGACCGGGGCCTGCAGGCTGGCCTCAGGGTGCCAGGAGATGGCCTGGGCATAGCGGGGGCACATGGTACTCCCCCGGAAGGCACAGGCAAGGCCAAGGAGGTAACTGCCTGCCTCGGGCCTGGGCTGTTTCTTACAGCAATGCCCTAAATACTTGTAGTGACTAAAAAGGAAAATGTTGCTTTCTCAAAGGACATTCACACAGTAGGCGTTTTAAGCTACGCAAGAGCTGCGTGTTCCATGGACGGCAGAGGACAGATATTTCTCGGAGGCACACTTCCGCCTGCGACTCAGCACTTGTGTGTTGTTCTTGTCTGTGGGTACGCGGGGCTATGGGAACACCGAGTAGGGGCCTTATGAGAGGAGCACCCAAAACCAGGTTTTCATTTTTTATTTTATTTTTTGAAGCCTGGGTGGAACCCAGAGCCTCACAAACGCTAAGTAACATGCTCTATCACGGGGAGACGCCCCCTGCACTCCCAAAGTGGGCTCAATAAAAAGGCAGCCCTCGGAGCGGTCACGGCAGGGTTAACTCCGTGCAGCCCAGGGCTCTGCGGCCCCAAACCCCGGCTAAGCTTTCCTGTCCCAAGGGCCCAAGGCTGCTTTCAATCGTTGGCCTCTTGCTCACGGTCAGTACTGACCCGAGCAGCCCTGCTGGCATCTCCCTGCGCTGGTACAGGGAGATCTGTGTCCTGTCCTTGGTCTCTCTGCAGGGCGGGAGGCGCAGCTTCTCAAAAGCACCCGTGCAGGCTTTCCTGCAGGATGGTGCTAGATCCTGCCAGGGCTGAATCTCTCACTGTGCTTGTCCCTGGTCGCTCTGAAACACGTATATTCTGGTGATGGTGGAACATGAGCCAGGTGACTTCCACACAGTCACTGCTGTGGTCCCGAGTCCCAGCCGCCTCTGAGAAGCCTGGACCAAAGACCCCGTCCTGTGGACGCTGGGCTGCCGTGCTCAGCCAGCTGGGAGGAGCTGCTTGGCTTTGCCATCACTGAGAACCTCCGTGATCACAGCAGCTGGGAGCCAAACCTTGACGCACCTGACGACAGGTACCTGGAGTTCACGGGACAGGCACTCAACCTGCTCGGTAACTGACTTCACTGTCAGTGTGTCTCTGGGAGTTTCCCTTACTACAATCAGGTGCACTGCACCATCAATGCGAAGAAGGAAAATCACCTCAACACCTTTCAGGCCGGACTGTCCCTTACTATTACCAACATTCATAATGGGTACATTTTCCCTTTATACATGGGTCCATCTTACCAGTGGTGCAAGAGTCACTGGAAAACAGGGAAAATATGACATTTCCAGAATGCCTGCATGGTCATCCAGGGAATAGAGCACAGAAACTTCAACATCCCTAAGTCCAACATCCCTACGTCAGCGTCCCTACATCCAGCATCCTCACGTTAACTATCCTGTATCGAAGAGAACCGTCGAAGAAGGAACGACGTTCAAGAAAACATAGTACTGGTTTGCATTAGTAAGTCATAGGCTGTTACCAGCTCCTGGGATCCTTTCAAATGTTTAGTAAATTATAAGTAAAAGAATAAATTGGATAAGTAAATAAAGTTTCCCAAACTCTCACTTTATTTCCAGAAGGTCTATCTTTCTAGGAATTTCTTTTTTCTTTCTTTCATTTATTTCTGCAAATGGGGGACTGAACCAAGGCCTCTGCACTGAGCTACATGCCCAGCGCTTTATTTTGAGACAGGGTCTCACCAAGTTGCCCAGGCAGGACTCAAATCTGTGATTCTCCTGCCTCAGCCTCCCACAGTGCTGGGATTACGGGTGTGCAGCAGCATGCCTGGCTCTTTCTAGGAATTTTGAAAGAAATCACGACCTGCCATCGGCTGGTTTTTGGTGGAGACTGAAGTGGGCTGAGAAGGCCAAGCAGGCGCACGGAGATGCCAAGTCCTGCCAGCTACCAGATGCAGACGAAGATCTGATTCCAAATTCCACGCAGCAGGCTTCCTGCATCATCTCCCTTCCGGAGAGATCCAGCCAATTAAAGGGAAAAGCAACCAAAAACTACAAAATATTCCAGACGCCACTTCAATGGAGTTTTCCAATCAGTGCCAAGCTGGCTTTTCTTTTCTTCTTAAAAACATCCGAAAGGCTATTTTCAGGGACCATTTCTAGGGTTGGTTAAAAACGTGAGGTGAAAGAAGCCAGCCAAGCCAACACCCCTCTGGTGGGTTTCCACAGCCCCTCTGTGAAAGCAGCTACAGCCCGGTTCGGCAGAACTTTAGGATAAAGGCCAAGGAGCACGCAGTACTCACCTGTGCCTCCGGGGGGCCCCCTTCATCTCTAATCAGCAGCAGATAGCTCTGTCCATCCACCACGATCTCCTTCTTGAACCTGCCACCTGCCACACACAAAACACCTGGTCACGGGAGAAAAAAAGGGAGGCAGAGGGCAGACAGACATGGGCTTCGCTTGTGGGAAAATACACCCTAGGTGGCCGCCCTGGGGGCCACCGACTCTGAGCATTTGGGAGTGGATCTGAGATGTCTCCTGTCATCACTCAATTTGAGAGTCACTCCGCTCAGGCCGAGGCAGGCATCTCCGAGCCCGTGCTCACTTCTGCTGAGAAGGCACGGCGCCCGGGGTGCGGCCAGGCTCTCCTGGCTTGAGAGGCATGGGGTTTTCGTACAGCCTTTATACGTAAATTCAGAAACACTCGCTGGCGGGGACACGGAACGCTGAAATCGCCATGCTCTCCTTGGGTTCACAAAACGGAAACCGATTTTTCGTGCTTAGCAGCTCCTGTCTGCAGCTCGGGGTGAGCTGAGGGCTTGGAACCCGTATTCTCCTCAAGGGAAACCCAGTTCTTGAAGGGAAGACACAGAACACCATGAGGACGGGGTCTCCGTAGGGAGGATGCCGACTACGACACGGTGTTAGACAGAGCTACTGGGTGGGGCTCTGCACAGGTGGGACAGGGCGGGGCAGCGGCTCAAGAGGAGGCGTTAGCGGACACGCTCAGTTAGCGAGAAGCCACGGGGGGCCGGCTGGGTTGTGGGACACAGAGATGGAGGAGAGGGGGCAGGCTGGGCCTAGGCTTCCTCTCCATCCCCCGGGACAAAGCACCGGCTGCGCTCGAAGGCTCCGGGTCTGCTCTAGGTCACCCTCATAGCACTCTCAACCCCCAGCGTCCACTCCGGGCTTTCACTTCCACTGCGCTGGGCAGGCACTTTCCAGACAGCTCATCAAAACCCCAAATAACAACTCCAGAGAACACTGCTGGGCTCCCTCAGGCCCCACAGGCTGTGCACGGGGCCCCTGCTACCCAGAACTGCCTGAGGCCGCCACCCTAGCCCGGACCTGCCTCTCCACAACCCAGAATTTAGCACCTAAACACTGAACTGCTATGATCTCCCCCTGTCCACCAAAGAAGTGTCCAGGGCCCTCCAGAAGGGCTGGCTAGAGTGGGCCGGCTTGCACACTCACACACATACATGCACGCGCGCAGTCACTCATCCACATGCCTACCTGTCCCACGGAACTACGCTTGCTTTGCTGAGTATCAAGTTTGCTGAATAGTGAAACACAAAGCAAACCTTCCAGTATTACAGTAAAGCAGACTCACTCTCTGGTTGGTGCCCTCGTCCCTGGGAAGAGGGGTGGGGACACAGAACAGGGTCAGGTGCAAAGGCAGTTTGGGGGATGGGACAGCTAGGACACTGCCCACGCCAGCTAAGGTTCACAGTCGCACCTGCACTTCCCAGCTGCAGGAGGAACCAATGGTGACCTTGGGTCCCCAAACAGGGGAAAGATGGGGATGCCACCCCTTTCCCTGCAGGGCTGCCGCTGCATCTGCCATCCTTCACGGGAGGCATCAAGAGTGACAGCCACCCACATCGCCGCCACAGGTTCCAGCGCTGCAGCAGTCTGAACCCAGGGGCTGCCCACACCAGCTGTGCGGCCTCACCTGACTCACCTGTCTCCACCTCAGTGTCCCCCACTGGAAAACGATAGTGACGTGTCGGTGGACGAGGGGTGACACGTTCACACAGAGCCCTCTGGGCAGTGCCCAGCCCACGGGAGCGGCCCTGATAGTGGTCAGCAGTGTTGCTCACAAGACTGGCCGAGGGTCATCGCTTGCTTTTATAAAAAAGGGGCCAAGTATGTAATAAAAGTGCTTACGAGAGGAACATGTGAAGCTGAAACAGCCGTCAACACGCTTTCCCTGTACTTAACTTCTAAAAGAAAGGGAAGCTGGGAAATTGCCATTCAGGGGAAGATGAACAGAATTCAACATTCTAAGAAAAATAACATCTGAAAAGCAAATCTGTTCCTCTTGACCGCAGATGTCTCTTCTTTCACACCCCAACCCCTGACATCTGATGGCTCACACTTGCCGGGGTCAAGGGGAAACAAAGAAGAAGGTGTGCAAAAATTTAAAAACCTCTCCTGTTTCGAACTGCAACGGCATCTGATGTGGGTGACACGCACTGCAACGCCACCTGCTAAGCTGTCTGCTCTGGGTCCACCCTGGGAGAGCCGCTGCACCCCAGGAGGACACGGGGGAGGGCTGGGAGCCGGTAAGCATTTCCAAGTTGTTCCCCACCTTCAAGACTGGGCTGGGGTTGGCCCTGGGCGGCACTGTGTCTGCAGCAAGCTCACCCTTGCAGTTAGGGGAAAATGAGGCAAAGCATGTTCCCTGCAGGAAGGCATGTCCTTGGTGCGCCAGAGCTACAGAGAAAATCTGAGCAATCAACACACAGCCTCCAGGTTCAGACACAGCACAAATCAGCAGGCTGCTGGCCCCGCACACCTAAGGGAGCAAGGCTGACCTCACACAGCGTCCACACCACCTATGACCTCACACAGCGTCTGCCCTCACTTCCACTGTGACCTCCGTCCCTCCCAGCGCCGACACTGACGGTGTAGCCCCAGTTCCCTCGGGATGTGACTGACAAATAAGGCCCCTGCGCTGTTACGAGTTAAGGCGAGGTGATGCTGAGGCAGGGTGGGCTGGCCCCACGTGGGGAAGGTGGGCAGGCTGCCCCCTCCACACACCCAAGCGCCACCACCTGTGCATGGCCCTGGCTCCGGAGTCAGCCCTGAAGAATGACCGGGCATCTGGGCTCTGGCACAGAGGACTCACTGGCACGGCTGTACCTGATTCGGGTGCGGAGTGAGCACCCCTCCACCCCAGGGGCCCAAACCAGCCCTGCACACACACCGGACTCACGGCGCGCCTGCTGTGTGCCAGCCTCTGCTGGTGCTAGGAATGCTTTGGGCGGGCTGCAGCCCCTCCCAACAAAACCTGGAGGGGAGACCGCCAGTGCTGCGATGCCCTGGGCAGTGGCGGGGGGACTGTGGGGTGCTCCGCCCCAACTTGCTCTCCTAGGCAATCAGCAAGCAGAGTTGGACTCAGGTTCCAATCCCTGCTCAGCTCCTCCCCAACTCACCCGCCCCCCAGAATCTCTGGGAAGGCCGCCTGCTGGGGCCCGCAGTTCTCAGATACCTTCCTGCACACACTTCCGCCCACCCCAGCTTACTCCCAGCCAGGGTCCTCCCCCACCCAGGTCCAGAGGACCCTGTACAACATGGGTCTGCCACTGTGTCCACACACACTCCTCCTCACCGGGGGCTGGCCGCCTCCCCGCGCTACCCAGCACGAGTGCACACAGACCACCATGGCGTGGTGCCCGACTCTGGGCTCGGCCTCCATGGGGCTCGGACCCCTTGCCCTGGGCCACTGGTTCCACAGCTACTCCCTCAGTAGACGGGTCTCCTCCAAGCAAGGGGGAGAAATGGAGCCTGGCCCACGGCTCCCCAAGCTCCCTGCACAAGTAGCACCCTGGGGCTGCCCGAGGCCTCTCACAACCCAGGGAGCTGGACGGCAGGGATGAGCACCCAGCTCTCCTCAGCTGACGCCCTCAGATGCCGAAGGAATCGCACCCCGGCTTCCTCTAATGTGCTGCACGGTCACCCAGGAGGGACGCTTCCCGGGGCTGCGCTCAGCGCTGAAGTCAGGAACGGCTCCCGGGAAGCTCCCAGCTCTCCCCCGCCCTCTGCTCTTCTGGGTTCGGCTCTGTACACCCAAGCAACGGCTCCAGACCGATTTCCACCACCTCAGAAGGGACGGTGCTTCTCTCTCCCTGGGAAGGCCCCCCACCCTGGCTCTCAGGTCACTTTACACCCCGCACCCAAGACACACAGGCTGCGGACAGGAAGAACGAGAATCAGCAGGAAGCTCCTGAGGCTGCCGGGGCCGAGCAGGCGAGCAAAAGAACTCCCGAGATGCGCTTTCTACAGTTTCCCTGAACCACCCCAAACACGAAGGAAAACCCTTAGGGCAAAGCTTCGCAGGCAACCGCAGGCACCGTCGACCCCACCTCGACTGAGTGACCCGTCGGAAACCATGGGGACCAGGGACGTTCCAGTTCTTCAAGTCTGGGAAAATCTGCAGACTCCAGCAGCTGAGCATCTCTATTCTGAAAATCCGAAAGGCCCCCCCATTACACACTTGGAGGATTATGTGGGTTCTCAAAGTGTTCTAGATTTTACTTGGGTTTCACAGTTTCACATTAGGAATGCTCAACCTGCATTTTAAATTCAAATCTGCTATCTTATCCCAGTCCTTAGATCTTTTTTCCTACCAAAAACTTAGAGGACACCACAATTACTTCCCACAGGTCCATTTCACCGACCCTGTATTCCTAACCAGTAACGCAGAGCCCTGCCTGTGGCTGCTGCTACGGATGTTACGTGAGCAGGTGCTCAGCCCTCTGCTGCCAACTATTATTACACAATGTAAAAGGCAGCAGGGTTAGTTTATTTCCAGAAAGTATCTTTAGTCTCCCCAAGTCTGACTTCCCCCACTGACGCAGCTGACACACACCTGCCTGGCACACCTTGCGCAGGTGTTGGCAGGTGAGCAGACCCTGGAGCCACGGAGCCCCAGCACAGGTGACCCCTGGGAACTGGAGGGGCTACAGCTGAGCCCCACTCTGAAGTGGCACCAGGATCCTGCAGCTCTGACGCCATCTCCAGGAGACAGGGAACCAGACTCCCGCCGTGGCTCCCACCTGCCCTCCCACACACAGAGCAGCAGCTTTCTGCAGGCTTCACCCCAGGGTCAGGGGTTAGGCTTTGGCTCACCGAAAGAGGAAGGTACCAGAGCTCGCACAAAACTTGGGGAGACTGGCCCCCTGCTGTGTGCCCGCCTCAGCACCTTAATTTCCCCTGGCGCCAGCCGGGTGGTGACCAGGGTGCAAGCATATTGGGTGGGACCCAACGTGCCGAAGACACAAAGCAGGTGTTCTGTGAACGACCAGCACATCAGAAGAAAAGGGGGCAGGCGTGGGTTTTTATTTTAAAAACCTCTTTTCCAAAGTCTTAAAAGCGTCCCTT